CGTCGGAGCTACTAGCTCGAGCGGAGGAGCTCGGTGGCGAGCCCTACGACGGCAATGGCGGACGGCGGGGCTCGGCTTGCGGGCGAGCTAGCTACAGTGGAGGCGGAGACGCGCGAGGAGAGGGAAAAGGGGGCTGGAGCTCACCTTGGGGGCACACGGTGGCCCGTTGGGTGACTAGGAGTAGCAGTGGTGTGGATTCGGGGCGGCGGCGTTCATCGGAGCCGAAGGCGAATGCGAGGTCGTGGCGGTGCGGCGGGGCCGTCCCGGTCCGTGCGGCTCGGCGGGGTGGATGTGGAGGTCGAGGCAGCGCCTGGGGGCACGTCGGAGAGGGCCGGGGACAGCGGTGGCCGCGGGATCAACCGACGCTCGGCGACGGTGGCGCTCGGGAGGAGTGAGCGCATGAGGGAGAGGGGAAAGGTGGATCTGGGGGAGGAGAGGCGCAAGTGGGAGTGGGGAGCTGACGAGGTCAGGAGGCTCGGCCTTATCCCCTCGGCGCGAGCAGCGGGGTGGCGAGGCGGTCGGGTGGCGACCGCGCGGGCGCGCGCCTCGGTCGGGTGAACAGGGGAAGGGGACGACCGCGGGGAGGAGTGGGCTGGGCTGTGCACTATAGCAATGGGCTACAAGTGCACAGTAATAGCTAGGCCCTTTTCTATTTCCTTTTTTTTAATTTACAGAGAGAGAAAGGGAATTATTTGGCCAACTATTTCACTTAGCAAAAAATTGGGAGGTGTCCCATTAAATCCCTGGTGATCATAGACAGTGCCACAATTATTTTGGAGACCAGAAGAATTCATTTGGAATTTTTCAAAAATAGGATAGCATTTAAAAATGCTGAATTGGTGCTGTTATAATTGCTAATGTTCATCTTTGCACCAAAGTGATGTTGTGTTCCTTAACAAATGTTTGTTATGGAATTTTTGACAGATGATGAACATTTTTCCGGCAACTTTTGATCAACTTCAGACTTCAGTTGAATTTGAATTGACTGGAATTTCAAATGGGATATTGGACAGAGGTGATTAAGCACTGTTTGGGTAAATAATTAGCTTAATCACAGAGGGTTACTGTAGCATGATACTGGGGGTGTTACAGGGCGATCCGGGGCGGGCAACGACTCGGCAACGGTTGAGTTGATCCGAGGCGGCGGCGACCCGGGAACGGCTCGGCTCGACAGATTCAGGGTGCCGATGAAGCGACATGGTGGACCCGGGTCTAGTGCGCCCGACAACGTGATTCCATCGATGGAAATGGCCGGAATCGCAGGCTGCGGGCAGGCGACGACGGTGCCGGGCGGCTGCGGGAACCGCTTTCGGGAAGGCGCAGGGTGGGAACGCGCGCGCTGAAATGTCCCTCCCGCCCACCGACGAGGCAGGGGGGTGGGGACTGTTTTTTTGCGGTTCAAAGGGGGCAATTTAGCGCCCCTCAATTTTTTTAAGGGTCGGACGCGTTTACGGTGTCTGATCGGGCCACTTTTTTCGCGCCAAACCGCAAATTGGCGGTTATTTTACAGGTCAGCGCGATATAAGGGGTCTGCTAGAGATGCTCTAAGGGCATCTTCAACATTGACCCTCAAACCTCCCGCAATAGTTCGGATCACGAAAGTCATCTAACGCGATACTGTATCGGTCCACGACGCGGTCCGGACGCATTTTCTTCCGCAAACCGGAGACAAATGTGGGGAGCTTTGCGGGAGACTGGACTGCTACCACCCCCGCTTCTGACCGTCCTGGCCCACCCAAACCCCTCCTCCCTCGCCCGCGTGCGTTCACGCCCGGCGCCAGCTGCCCGCATTCATGCAGCTGTAGTGCGCACCGCTTCATGTTGAAGGCGCCTCAGGGCGAACACGACCTCTCACTGCCCTCCGCCATTGAAGCGGCGCGCCGGCCGAGGACGCCGCCCGCTGCACGCGACTAAACACGCCTCCTCATCGCATTCAAACGTCTCCATTAAACTTGCATGCAAGCCGAGGAATCTACTCTGGCCACACATGGGTTCACGAGCGGACCAACATTAAATGATGTCGGGCAGGCTCCTCCCGTTAGCCCTTTATTTAAACGAGGCAAGATGCCGGGCAAGAATCGCACCACTCCGCCGCTCCCTATCTCATCCTTCCACCCTCTACTCTTTCGATGGCATCCGCCGAGCGGAAGAGCAGTTCTCCGGCAGAAAAGCCGTCTAGGTGGCCTGCCGAGTTCGGGGGATACGAGCGAGGCAGCTCGCTGCTCCAACTCCCCCGCCTAGCCCGACGGAGCCAGTTGTCGCCCCAAATCGGCGCGTGGTTCAGCAACTCGTCGCTCCAGGCCAACTCGAGGAGGAGTGACGAGTTGCTCCATGTCGGCATGACGAGGAGCACAACGACAAGGGCGTCGTCCCACGCCTCCCGTGTCAGCCCCGCGCCATGCAGGCAGAGACAGAAGCCGGGTGCGCGGAGATCGACGAGTCAGTGACCAGCCCGTCCGCGTCCGCCGTCATCATCAAGGAGAAGTAGAACACGGGAGGCCACCGCCGCTTGGGTCCCAGGAAGGCCACCCGAGGCACCGCCGGCGAACACGGGCGGGGTCTTGCCCTCTGGTCGGCCACCACCATCCCCTTACCCAAGAACCAACTTTGGTCCGTGCAGCGTAGGGACCCCTCCCCTCCGGCTAAAGCATCAGGCGACGGTTCCACTCCGATGAGCGGTGGGAAAGCGAGCCGTCCTTTGCGTTGAAGTATATACCTCCGAAGCTCACCTTGCCGGCCATGGGGACGACGTAGGAGACCCGCCGCGCCGGCTGTAGACTAGTCCGGTTTTGCTTTTAGTTGAAAATATGTCCAAAATGTAACCGTTTTCGTGTGGTTTGTATGAAATCTGTCATATTTATATGAAATCCGGTTCAGTTTGCATGGATTTCATCTGGTTTGTTTAAAAAAGTTTAAAATATATGCGGTTGGTGTTGAATGTCGTCTCATCACATCCGTGTCCACGGTCTGGTCCTTTATCTGCAGAGGAATGCAGAAGGAAATTTACAGGTCCCTTTAGAGATGCCCTAATCATGTTTGATTGTTCCCCGTGGTCTCTATTGACCTCGAGGGCTCAGGACTCAGGTCAATCTGATCGGCAACGGCAGGTAAACGGCGCAGGAGAGAAAACACGACGACAACGGCCACGGCCACGGCCACCAGCAGCGGCGCCACGGCGTGAGCCCAATAACTGCCTCCAAGCCAACCACGCGGCCGGCCCGTCCAATCGCGGGGCGGGAAAGGGCCCGGGGACCACGCCCGAAAAAGCGCGGCCCCACCGCACCACGCCTCCCACCTCTCTCTTTTCCGTTCCGCCTCATGCGTCGCTTCGCGGGGCTCCCTCTCCCTGGCGGGCGCGCACCCACTACTCTGGCCCCGATCGTTGCGGTTTTTACCCCGGATGCCCCGGCCTAATTACCGCCACCGGCGCCGTCCTTTTGCATTTCGAGTCGGCTCGTCTCTCTCTCTGTGTCTGTCTCTCTCCCTCTCCCTCCACCTCGCTCGCTGTACTCTCCCCACGCGCTCGTGGTCGTACACCAACTCGACCTACCCGCGCGGATTGGGCCGCGGCGACGGGGTGGAGAGGCTTTGCCCGCGAGGTTCAGCCTCGCTGCTAGGGTTAGGGTTTTTGCCCTGGATTCGCGCGAGGCCCTGCTGACCCATGGACGCGGGGCAGATGCTCTCCCCCGGCGAGGCAGAGTGGCCCCCCGAGCTTCGCCTCCCGCCGCCGCCTCCCATGCCGGACCCCGCTCCCCCTCCGCCGCCCAGCCAGCCGTCTCCAGCGCCACCAGCGCACCCTCACCGCCTCACTGCGTGGCTGCAGGCTCCTGCCTCGAACAAGGAGCCGTCCCCGCCTCGTCACACGGAGGGGTTTGATGATTCGCACTTCCTCGGTTCGATCATGGAGGCCGCGGCCCCGGTCCAGCAGCAGCAGGAACCAACCGTGGCTGAGGCACCGGTGAAGAGGAAGAGAGGTAGGCCGCGGAAGAACAGGGACGGAGCGGTTGCTGCGCCTGCGCCGCCCAAGCCAGTGAAGAAGAATGACGACGAGGAGGTGGTGTGCTTTATCTGCTTCGACGGGGGCAGCCTCGTGGTTTGCGACCGCAGGTGCGCGCGCTTTATTTTTTATCATCTTCCTCTGTATTCTGTGTGCACCAGTGCGGCTTGGACTCGTTGCTTCGACTAGGCTGAAAACCCTGTTCTGTGGCTGCAGGGGCTGCTCCAAGGTGTACCATCCTGCCTGCATCAAGCGTGACGAGTCGTTTTTCCGCTCCCGTGGCAAGTGGAATTGTGGTACGTCTTGGTCATTCTAGTATTTGCATGGAGTATAATTACAATATCAATGCTGCAGCGTGTTGGGTATTCATATAGTATTTGGCATATTAATACTTCTGATAATGGCAGACAAAAGCTCTATTGAAAGAAATTGGAAACATTTGAAAGAACCTGATTTACCAAAGAGCAGCATTGATCTTCTTCCATACCCCTTTAGTAAAGTAATTTGGATATGTAGTCTTGCCTTCCCGGACCTCCAGCATGAATGCCCGATCACATTTTTTTTTTGAACAGTGATCACATTCATTATAGACGTAGAGTTTGTAGAAGATGCATTTTTCCGCAATATAGCTTATGCCCAGTTAGTGTTGAATCATTTCCACTTTTTTTACTACACATTTGTCTTCATGATCAGTTGTCTGTTGATGTGTACATGCCCTGTTACAAGGCTGTCTTTATAGTGAAGTCGAAACAGATTTACGTGTTGAGTTTATGTAGGAGAACTGGATATGCTCGGTTGGCATTACACCATATGGGGCAAGAAGCACCACGACGATAAATAGCTGCTTTTTAGTTATCATATATGATTACATTGTATGTGGCTATGTGCATGCGCCAACCCTTTAACTTCAGAAACGATAGTTCAATCTGACCTGTCCTGTATCTTGATGCCACACATGCCAGGTTGGCACATTTGCAGCATCTGTGAAAAGGCAGCACAGTACATGTGCTATACTTGTACTTACTCCCTCTGCAAGGCATGCGTCAAACAGGGAAAATTCTTTGCTGTTAGAGGGAACAAGGGCTTCTGTGACACTTGCTATGCCACTATATTGTTGATTGAGTCCAAAGACAAAGATGCTACAAAGGTATTGTACTGTTACCCTTAAATTGTATACCATGTTCCATTTTTCTGAAGCACAGAAGCATCTGTATGCAAACACTAAAACATGTGCATCTCTATGGAACCAGAGTGTTCATACATCCTGCTCTCATTCCTTGGACAAACCACCACTCATTTTAGTCAGCTCAGCAGCACAGTAAATGTATAATTATGAAAATACCATCCATCATGAGGGTGACACGTGGGGCTCAGGTCATCGTCACACTGACATTTTCCTAACTATGCATCTTCGAAGGTGCTGAGCTATTAAATGAATATATCGCCATTGGCCCCAAACTTTAATCAAAGTAAAGTTGGGTACACATACATCCTAATTTTTCCAGTTGAGTCCCTAAACACCGCCATTTTGGTTCAGTTAGGCTATTTCAATCAGAAAAATAACGTGGCACTAAAAAGTTGAGTTAGCACTGCAAGTCATGAGTCAGCAAGTGCACAGATTGTGTACTCGGTTTCTGTAAGGAAAATGCTGCTCCATTCCAACGAATACGGCACACTCGTATCCCAAAATTGAACTTGGACCATCAATTTAAACAACTAAATGTGGGGTATGTGTGACAAAAGTTATTATACTAATGAATTCATATTCGGAAGAACTTTTCAATGGTATAATTTTTAAGTCGCATAACTTATGTTTGTTGGTTAAATTGACGGTCAAAGTTAAATTTTGAAATGCGTGCATGCTTTATTCACTGGAATGGAGGTAGTAATAAGTTTTGAATGCCGATTCATGGAATATGGGAACATTTCCCATAGTCCCCATGTTATTTTCTTAGTAATTTCTTTCATTATATATATTTTTGTACTAGGTCTCCTGATTACGCTGCATGTTTTATTGCGCGATCTAAATCCTAGCCCTTCTACCGAGGTTGTAATATTGTTATATGAGCTGCAGGCCTGTAGCTATGGATTTCTGTGCATGCTAAGTTGGTAGTTTTTGCTGAGTCAGTTTATCCACTGTATTGCCTTTAAGTTTAGCCACATGTGTCTTTGCTTGTGTTGAAATTGCATTATAAAATTATGCTACAAGGCATTGTTTTTAAGGCGTCCCGCCTTGGACGCTTAGGCGATAAGGCGCCCCCCCAGCGCCTTACAAATATGCCCGCCTTAGG